AAAAAAACCCCACAGGTTACTATGGCAACTCTCCAGGGAGCATCCTTCTTTATTTGAGCTCCAGGATCCTGTACAAGAAAATAGAAAAATGTCCTCAAAAAAGATTTTATCATGGGATACTTGTGCTTGGCCTGCCATCAGATGGGAATTTAAGGGTGCTCCAGACTACAGACAGTTTTCAGGCGAGATGACTGAAATGGCCAGTCTGAACTTCTGCAGAACTGGGTCTATGGACACTGAAAGTGCCCTTTGATGAGCATTTTAAGGTCTGAGAGATGACTAGAAACTGAGTTAATAGAGACAAGTGCAGCACAGGACTGTTTAATCCAGAACTGTGGAGAACTAAGTTGGTAGTGAGTGTACCTTTGCTTTTCTTACACAGTATTTTCCTAAAAGTTCTGCAAAGTTCTTCTGCCAAGTCATTTTTCTGCAGAAAATTATGAATTCAAATGCCAATACATTTGGATCAAATTTAGTGAATATCATCAGATGTGTTTACGCACACATCAGAATTGGAAATGCTGCAACAGCTCACAGCAGAGTTTTTTATAGCAGCTACACTGATTTCTGAGCTGGACTCTCAAAAGGACTGAGATGTCATTCACAAGATTACAAAGGCAGAAATAATGCTGAGTGTGCTCCACTCCCTGCCAAGAGACAAGTAACCCCCACTCTGTAAGAAGGTTTTGAGCTAACTTGCCAGTTGAGTGCTTTGTTCTCAGCTTCAGACCACTCCATCTTGCAAAGATGTTTCACTGTACAAAGAATTAAAGATTAATTGGAACAAAAGCCTTTTTCCCCATCCTACCTGCACACCTTATACCAGGCTGCTCAGATGATTTTGCTGTCCTTTTTCTTGGAGATTATCTGGTTCTAGAAAGGCCCCAGTGGGAAAGAGTGTGTGATCCCAGACMCACTCATACAATATTCTCCACGCTCCGTGCTGGGGTGCAAGAGGTCACCATCCAGTGATGGGTTGGAACTGGTGGGAAGAGTGAGGTCTGAACTGCTGCCATGAAGATCTTGCAAGAAGCACCCTGAGGACCCCATACCAGCCTCCTTTCTATTGGAGACCGTGGCATGTACCTGCAGTAAATGTCAGCCTTTTCCATCTCTGGCTTTTGGGTTAGAAGATCTGTTAAAGTGCCTGCAGTCAAAATAATCTGTGTGGGTTTTTTTTTTTGTTTTGTTTTGGTTTTTTTTTAAACATGCTATATTCCCAAATCTTTGTTYGCTAAAATCAAAAGCATCTGCTGCCATTTTCTACCACGCCAAACACATCTGTGCTTTTGAAATGCCAGACTCAGTTCCTATCCGTGCAGGCTGGTCTCACCTCACACTCATCCCCTGTTCTCCAGGGCATTAAGCCTGGATGTGAATCCCACCTAGCAGCTAAAAAGACTCTTGCATATTTGAGGGCTGTTGAATCATCTYCTGACCTCAATAACTGGGTAGGGAATAAAAATTATGTTTTCTCCGTTTTTGAGACAGTGAAGTGTCTGGAGGGAGAGGTGGTGATATCTCAGCACCATATTCTGCCCAGGAAGAGATGGTCAGCCATGTGAAAATCAGTAATGAAAAGCTCTGGAGCACTTTTTTCAGGCAGAAAAATGGCCTGATGGGCACACCTATGTCAACACCTATTTGGACTAATTGTCCTTCTAGGGACACCATCACAGCACCGCTGCCAGCGTGCCACACTGTAACCCTCACACACACAATGCTGGGCAAAGCACCAACCCTGCAYAGTCCTGTCAGCACTGGGTCAGATGAGAGATGAAATTAAAGGTGGAAATATCTACTTTCATACCTTTCCTCTGATCCTAATTTTATTTTAGGTTTTGGGTAAGTCGTCTGTTCCCCCTTTCCTCAGGTTCTCAATGAGTTTGGAATGCTGACTTTCTGATGCAAGCTGTCAAGAGTTTAGTTCTTACTAARAGAGTTTAGTTCTTACTTGTAGAGTGCCTTGAACATGAAAGCACGACASTGAAGAAGCCCTACACACTGCTCTTATTTATCCCCCTGATTGCAACACACACATTGTTTCCAGGGTGAAGCAAAACATTTGACTTTTGCTAGCAAGTGACATCTCCCAGACATGTCAGGCTTTGTGTTGTTCCACCTTAGATCTCATCCTCACTTTGCTTGCTTTCTACTTTAGCTATGAATATTTTAAAAAAAATCATCAAAACTCAAGTGCAGTCTCTTGGTCAACTCTAAGCTGTTCTCTGTCATCACTGTTCCTGTGTGTTGTGCCTCTGTGAGCTTTGTCAACAAAAAACAGCCCAATTACCGTGTCACTCTCCTAGTTCTGTCTGAACACATCAAAATTTACAGAGCACTATGTGCTGCTGAAACATTTGTTCACTGTTGAGCAAATAGTGGAGGAAGTGATCATTGGTGTACTTGTTTCAATTCTGAGAGCAGAGGGGCAGAGCTGACATTGCCTTTGGAGGAGGTCTTTGGCTTTTCTGTACACAGGGACAATTTGGGTGGGTACAGTGGCCTCAGTGTGCCATGTGTGCCCATGGACTATCCCATATGGCCTCCTGGGGACACTCTGAGAGGCAGGCCTGCCAGCAGGCTGTGCTGAACACGCTGTCCCCAATTTCTGACACCTACAAACCCCAAACAGCAATAGGTACTTGTATTCAGGAAACAGACTGGGGCCCTGGGTGTCTTGCTTTGGCCACCCCCACTGCACTGATGAGGGGTCTGCTGGCTGCACTGGAGCTGTGATGTCCTGCAAACAGCTGCAATGTCTGGGAGTTGAGGGCATTTCAGCTCATTCTGAGTACAGCAGCTCTTCCATGTGACAARTCTCTCTGGGTAAGAGGAAAAGCCAGTGGCTTCATTCCTGATTGACAGGGAGAAAATTAAGAGTTCAGGCTTATTAAACAATCTCTAATARTGATTTATGGGGTCCTGTACATTTTAATCTAACAAAAAAAAATTTAAATCATGTAATTAGCTAAGTGTGTAATCCTGTGCATTAATTGTCCATTAGCCACTTCTTAATTATAATGGAATGCTTATCAAATAACATCTGATGGCCACGTAGCACCAATTTAAGTCATTATCAGACTAGCTTCTGCTTTAATAAGGMTCTGTTTAACTGGAGTCTAACCATCTCATTTTATTTTAAAAGCTCTACAGAAGAGGAAGCAAACACCTTAAAAAGATAGTATTCCATTAGGACATTCTAGACCCTATACTGTAAACAATACTACATGAAGAATCACAAAAGCAACATAAAAAATCCAAGTAGGTATCAAGGAACCAGGAAACCCAGATCTTGTGTTTAAGTTTCTCCAGGAGTTCCTTGTTCATCCACARAGGCMTCCCAGCATTTTTKCCTGACTTCCTCTTTGTTGGGATGCACCACTCCTGAGCTCCTTGATTATTAAYCAGCTTTCCTGGGCCTCTCTTCCTTCCAGGGCTTTATCCCACGGTACTCTACCAAGCAGATCTCTGAAGAGATCAAAATCTGCTTTCCCAAAGTCCAGGTGGTTTTGCTGTGTGCTCTCCTTGATGTTCTAAATATTCGAACACCATTATTTTATGATCACTGCGATCAAGGCTGCCCTTGAGCTTCACATTCCTCATCAGATCCTCTCGGTGGTGAAAAAAAGGCCCAACATTAGCACCTCCCCTCATTGGCTCCTCTACCACTTGAAGAAGGAAGTTATTATCAGCGCATTCCAGGAGTGACCTGGATGGTTTATGCCCTGTTGTTTTGCTCCCCCAACAGATGTCAGGGTGGTTGAAGYTCCCCATRAGGACCAGGGCTTGTGAATGTGAGATCACTCCTACCTGTCCACAGAGGAATCCACTCAATCTTCCTGGTCAGGCAGCCCATAGCAGACCTTTTCTATAATGTCACTTKTCCCTGYTCTCCCTTTAATCCTGACCCAWAAACTCCAAGRTWACACCTMATCCATCCCCAGRTGGARCTCCATGYGCWCCTGCTGCTCATTGWCATACAGRGTGACACTTCCTCCTCRTCTCCACATCCTGTCCTTCCTAAAGAGCCTGTATCYCTTCATTCCAACACTCCAGCCACAGAAGCCAGCCCATCACTGCCCAGCAGGCATGCACGCTTCCCTAATTCCTCCTATTATTGCCCATGCTGTGTGCATTTGATAGAGACATTTAAGGTGTTCCCCCATTAAGCTGGGCCCCCCATGAAGTTGACTTACAGGCTGGAGTGGC